CTCTCTCTCTCTCTCTCTCTCTCTCTCTCTCTCTCTCTCTCTCTCTCTCTCTCTCTCTCTCTCTCTCTCTCTCTCTCTCTCTGTGTATGTTTGTGTGTGTGTGTGTGCGTGTGTGCGCTTTCTTCCATCCTGGTTTCTTTGTGGTGCTTCTGCTTGCTTATAGTTTTCTTCTCCACCTGGATAGGGGTGAGATGTGCGTCTTCCTGGGCAGCTCCAATGCCGCAATGACTGCCAGTTGGATGTTTGCTAGTGGCTATTGGCTATTGGCTATGGCGTTCGTCTCCTCGAGCTCAGCCGGACGTTAGACTGCGTCGGCTCTGACGTAGCCTGCGTCGGCTCTGACTCAGCAGCTTAAAGGTGGGTAGACCGTCCACCCGGTACCAGCACCTACTTCCACTAAAGCAGAACTTAGAAGAAGTAATAATGATGGTGGTAATAACCAAAAACTGATATTGTTTAATCGTGGAAAGGCCATATCAGGCGCTCCAATTAAAATAGGAACAAACCAGTTTCCAAACCCACCTTATTTTATATTGTTATTTTGTAAACTCTTTCTATTATTGATATTGTGAATACTTTTATATATGTTTTCATTACATATGTTTTTATTAGATTTATTTGGAATAAGGATTCTGCAACTTGAAAACCATCAGGAACTTCTTGTCTTAAAGTTTGCTCTATCACTATTTTTCCTGCAAATGCAATATATGCTTTGGGTTCAGCTATGATAATGTCTCCTAACATACCGCGCGCGCTGTATGGGAAAGGGAGAGACATCCATGTACTTCCTCTGTTTGCGGCTCTTCCTCTTGATCTGTGTTGTGCTCTACAGATGCAATGTCTGCGACGGCTATGCCCGTGCTATGTCCGTGCTATGTCCTCTCCCTACACCACCTATGTTGAGCTTCGTGCTATGCCCGTGCTATGTCATCTCCTGCGGTGTCAATGCTATGCCCGTGCTATGTCCTCTCCTTGCACCACCTACGTTCGTGCTATGACTACTCAGTCTGCTTGTCTGTTCCAACCAATTTTCAATTACCAGTCGAATCTGGACAGCACGGCCTGAGTATTGCAAAGGGAACCCCGTCGCAGCCACATCCGTGTTCAACCCTGAGACGGGGGAACATGCGGGACCTGCACCTAGCAGGAGGTGGGCGATACCGGCCCGTGGTCACCCTGTAGCGTCAGGACCCCGCTTCTTCCGTGGGCCAGTCGCTGTGCCTCCGCTTTGTCCCTGCCATGCCCGTGCTATGTCTCCATGCTATATCCTGCTATGTTCGTGATATGACTCCATGCTATGCCCGTGCTATGCCCGCGCTATGAAGTTACCATGGCCGCGCAGCTCGTTAGAGGCATTCAACGACAAATTGCAAGCTTGAAGTGATGGCCGCCACGTGTCCCGCTACGTTTACCTGATCACGTCGATTCGTTGCGGCATCGGATTCGAAGAAAATCAACGGCGTTCTCAAAAAAAAAAAAAAACTTTTGGGACGTTTCGGTGATAGAACCAGTCTCACTGACTCGTCATATCCGTAGCGGTGTCTCGGCATTGGCTATCTCATCACGGGAGCTACCTAGTGCGCTGTCTCGTCATGATGCAAGCTTCCCTGTCTCGTCAAAGAATGGCTATCAAAGCATGGAGGTTTCCTTGTGTCATCATTAGTCGCCTCATCGTAGAAGTTTCTGTCTACCTCGGTGTATAATCACATGATCACGACGCTACGTCAAAGACTCGTTACTCAAGAATAGAACGCCTGGTCCGTATTTAGAACCTTCCCCCAAAACGAAGCTATAATGATCGTACGTACGTTGTATTGGGGGGCGGACGGTCGATCGTGCGCGCTGCATGGACGAGCGCTAAATAACGAATGGCCTACCGGAATTTCACGATTTATGCGTGTCATCCTTGCGCAGGGGCCATGCTAATCTTCTCTGTATCGTTCCAATTTTAACGGATGTCCCATACCGGAATTTCAAGCTCGCGAGACCTCGTGACTTTCTTTTTCCCTCTCTTGGACGTCCGTGCGGACATCTTTTTCGGGGGACTGTTTCTTGACGACGACCTACTCGTGTAATCCGCGCACTTGTTTGCACTCCATGTCCAACTCTTTTTCTCGTTCTCCAACTCTTCTTTTCTCGTCTTTTTTTTTTTTTTAACTTTTTTTTTTTTTTTTTTTTTTTTAAAAGACAGGCGCTTAGTTGTATTATACAAGCCGGGAAACGGGCCTGGCGTCCCTTCCAAAAAGTGGGCGGACCACCCAATCGAACAGGACATCACCGGCCAGGCCCAAAAGGGTGTCCGCAGTAACAATTATCTCTTCCCACTCACCTACTCATTGTAGATTCCCCCAAGATTTATCTTCTTACATCTCGTGTCTGTACTCCTTTTCCTGCGTCTTCTTTTTCTCTTTTTTTTTTCCCCTTCGGTACTCTTTTACTTTTGATGCATTGACACCCAGTGCCAAGTCCCAGTACGCTAGCCTCATCGAGTTTCCTCAACTCCCGAATGTGCACGCGTTCCTGGAGATGTGCAGACACTGGCATCTGAGTTTGGGAGATGTGCAGAAACTGGCATTGAGTTTTGGGAGATGTGAACAAACTGGCCTCCACAAACACGTCCAGATATAGGCTCTGAGAAGACCTAGGCTTGTACCCCACTGGCAGGCAGCTGGAAAAGTTTTGGCGTGGAAGGCCTATTTCAGACCCCATCAGGCGAACGTCTGTTTCAGACCCCACTGCTGCCGTCCTGGAAACTATGTTGGCCCTGTTTCTACATGGCTGGTGGCTCGAAAAGTCTCTGCCAGAAACTGGCAGTCCTTTTCCAAAGTGCCCTCCAGCAGGCTAGGGAGGGCAAAGTGCCAAAAACTTTCTGTGGTGCAGTCCATGGGCATCACAGACTTGAGGCTGGACCAGGACGAAAAGCTGTGGTCGAAGTTCATGCCGCACGAGTCCTCCAGGCTGGATATGGGCTGCACCATGCCCCCTGGTCCATACAGCCCATCCGTACTTTCCTTTTTGGGAGGGGCGCATCTCCGGTTTCCTAATGCGGCAAGCCTAGCTGTCTCCAAAACCCCATCAGCAGTTGCTGGTGGGGTCGCGTGGAAACATGCCAAGAACTTTAGCCGTCTCCAAAACCCCACCAGCAGTTGCCGGTGGGGTCGCGTTGAAACATGCCAAGAACTTTCCAGCCCTGTTCGCCAGCATTTTGTGGCCAAGTATTTTTTCCAGGCGCCGGCCATTGGACATCAGGTTGACAAAATTTTTTAACTTTTCTGTGAAGGAAATATAGTGGAGAGTAAGTGCAACCAGGCCTTGTAACTCGAAGTTGGCAAGTTCGATCACGAGCAGCTGCCGTCCCCGCCTGTAACCCACATGAGCTCATAGGTCCTTGGAAGGTCTGCTGGTGGAGCTGCAAATCCACGCGAGTGCAGCACGTCAGTCCAAAGAGTGTCCGTCCCAAAAGTTTGGATATTTACTCATGTCAGGCCCCGCAGGAACTCGTCTGGCCGTTTTCCGCGAGTGATTTCGCGTGTGCTGTGTGGCAGTGGTGCAATAAACGAATAGAAACGGTGATTTTCGTTGCCTCGCGAGGCCGCGCGAGTTCACAGGTAACTGAATCGGTTGCGCTTACAAGAATTAGTCCTCTCTCTTAGTGGTGTCCTAACTCAGGTCTATATCTCAACATGCCATTTGATTATATATATGTATATCGGTGAAACTCCGACGAAACAGTTTGTCACAGCCCCTCGTTTGTTGTCCTCTTCTCTCTCTCTGCCTACGGTTTACCGGGCAGTTCTGTTTGTGACGATATATATATATATATATATATATATATATATATATATATACATACATATGTATATGGTCAAACAGAGCTGCCCGGTAAACAGGAGGCAGAGAGGGAGAAGAGGACAACAAACGAGGGGCTGTGAGCCTGTGACAAACTGTTTCGTCAGTAAAAGAGTTGGAGACGCCTCTTTTGGAGTTGACGACCTGCCTGCCCTCCTCGAGAGTTTGTCAGRATGCTCTGTGCCCCTTCAGAATTTGTGAGGGTGCTGTGTGCGGAATACTCAAATGCCAGWACATAGCAAGGAGGGAATACAAGTACATAGCAAGGGGGCRGATATCCAAAACGGGTTGGRGAAAAGGCCCTGCTATGACCGTGCTCTAGAAAAAGTGATGTTGTTCTCTCGTGAGGAATGGAGCTCTGGGGGMAAGTCCCACTACCTTCTTCCTCCGAATACAACGTACTGTATTATAGCTCTATATAGACTTAAAGATACCCTAAATACAGGTATAATCAGCTGTCTCTGCTCAATGGCACTCCGGGGGCCAGCGGCCTATGCCAAGCTTGCCCGGAAAGGTACACGAGGCCAATGGGGATTGAACCCAAGACTTCCTGAATGCCACTTGCCTGCCAAACGAACTGAGCTGGGCCGTTGGGTGTMAAAATGGGAAAAGAAACGAGTGCATCTTCTTCCCATAAAAAATGGGCAGGTTCATCAGTTTGCTGCAGGTAGTATCCAATGTAATGTGCCAGATTTCATGGCCAGATGCATTCGTTTCTGTTTTGTTTCATGTGCCAGGCCCATTGTCTGTTTCTGTCAGAAATTTTCGCATAAACCTGCTCATGGCTGATTAGCCTGATTCAACCCTCACTTGTTAGAAAAGAGGAGTTTTTGTTGTTGTTATACTCAGTCTGTTACTTGTGTGTAATTATGGGTCTTGTCCCACTACACAACACTCTACATGCATTTGGACGTTTTCTGGGCATCATACATTCAAAAGATATTGGAATCATCCAAATGCACTTGGTCTAGAAAATGTCCAAATGCATGTACTAGAGTGTTGTGTAGAGGAGCGAGGCGCCGAGGCCCAATGTTTAACCTTTCATTGGCTTCTCTCTTGGGTTGAGTTATTTACTGTAATTTTATGAATTGTACATGAAACAAGTCAGAGTAATAGTGCCTTCTTATTTGCACTATAATGATCAAACACTCTTGTTCCGGACAAGCCTTTTTTAAGTTTTTTTCTTTTCTTTTCTTTTCCTTTTTAGAAGGATGACACCCTTGAAATATCACCATCAAGATGATCCGAGATATTTGGTTCATTCATCCATTTCCATCATCTTGATTCGAACTTGGGTCTGCATTTCAGCAGTTCATTAGTGTATCAACCAAGCAAAGATGTGTGTGTGTGTGTGTGTGTGGGTGCATCCTTGCAGGCTGGTGGCCCAGGTGAGTCCAGAGTAATGTGCCAGAGTCCCCGACGGAGATCACAACTGATAAAATAATCAAGGAAGCAGACAACGCAGTTCATAAGAACAAAGTCTGGAAGCGCATCATGACAAGGGGAATGGGCAACATGTCTTCACTGGTCTTCTTCACAGTGAGCATGCTACTGCTCGCTGTTGCATTTGTAAATGTTAGTGCTGGCGGCTATTATCCGAAACCGCCCRGCTGCACGAAAGACAGCGAGTGTTCCTATGGCGAGAAATGTTGTACCGGAGACTGCAAGAAGGTTTCTTGTTGCTCCGATGCCCACTGTGGCTATGGACAAAAGTGTTGCAATGGTGCCTGCTCCACTGCTGCGTGCTGTTCTGACAGCCATTGCGGCTATGGGAAGAAGTGCTGCGGCGGCCAGTGCAAGGAGTGCTGCAGCGACAGC